TTCCCCTAGATTCCACTTAAGGCAAGAAAGCCTGGGAAAACTTCAGCATCTTGGGTATGGAATATATAATTACATACTCTCTGTAACATAACCCTCTCTAAGGGATTTCTGAGCAGTCTTTGCAACACTGTTGATTTATGGAGAGTCCAGACCCTCTCAACGCCTCGTATCTTTCCCTCTCGATGCAGAACAGCATTCCACACGAATGAAAGCACTTAAAAGCCTGCAAATAAGACCCAGTAGGCCTGTGCACATCTTTCTCCAAACTGTCTAAGCATTCTGTAAGCAGAGTGAGGCAATACAAAACATTAGAGGCAGCACATCTCACAGATGTCTTTATGGCAGTTCTCAACCTCCTGAGCTCAGAGGCTCAACCCAAAAGACAGAGATTGTTCCAGTCAGGAACAAAAGCAGTCAGTTATGCACAAATAGAAATATAAAGATAATGGCTATAGCATACACATGAGCCTGGAAAGTGTCTTCTACTAATATTCAGGTCATTGGGCATAAACTTGTCTCTATCCTATTTTTTCATAGTAAGAAAGACAGAATATAAGGACAGAGGGCTGTTGTTGCTAAACAGCAACTGTTGAAGCTAAAATCAGTTAGTTTAGTGGTAGAAAATTCTCATGTGGTAGACTTCTCACTTGGAGAAATCATGGAATTATTTCCTTCTGCATGAGATCTTTTTCCTGCTCATTATTCCCAATTTTTTTGGGGGGGGTAAAGGGGGAGGGGTAGAGGTGGGGGGATAAAGGGGGATTTGGAAGGAAAAGAAGAAATACATTAGCAACAACAGACAAGTTACATAGAACATCAATGCTTTCAGGAAAGATGGAACAAAGGAGAGCATCTCACTAAAATTCTAGCAATTCTTCAAAGTAAAATCTTTGAAGAAAAAAATTCTTTTAAATAACAAAATTTATATTAGCTAAAGGATACACATTTTTAAACAGTAGTTTTACAGGTTTTTATTTGTAAATTGCTCTTCTATATTCTCTATTGATATGCAAGATCCACACAAAACAAAAGGTACTACAAAGTTGAAATAACATTTTACTGCATATGGCTAGTCTTAAACTGACAGAACTTTATTAATTTGAGATTGGGTACCTCATGATTGATGACAGTCCAGCCACAAGATGAGTCACTGTCACTGGAATTTTCAGACATTTTCAAAGCACACTGCAAGTAAAAGTAGATTCTTTTAATATGCAAGACACATAATTTCACTGCTCTCTTGAAAAAAACATAAAGGAAACAGGAGAATCCAAATCACGATGTTAGAGAACTCTACACTAACTCACAAACTGTTATTCTGGAATTGAAAAAAGAAGATAGAATAAAAGTTTAGAAAGAAAGAAAATATATTCTTTTGTACATATTTCCTATCATCTTTTTTATACTTGCTTTAGTAGGTACACAGCTATTTTAGCCAGCCAAAAAGCTCTTAGACTAGCTAAAAATACACACACAAGGCTAGCCAATAAATCAATACTTAAATTTAACATTTGGCTGTAGTATCACTGTTTAAGACATGTTTCAGGAGGTGAAGTAATTTCTGAATTGTTACGTGCACAGGAAACAGTTTATTCAAGGAAAAACACCTTTTCTTGGAGAAGATACAAATTAGGATCTTTTGGAACTAACTCCCTTCAACTACTGAGCAAAACAATGTTCCATGTTTCTTTCACTCCTTTCAAGTACTCTTAAAAATATTGATTCTGAAGAAAAATGAGAGTACCTGGAGACTACAAAAACAGAACGAAAAAAACCCTGATGTACAAATGTTACTTGTTACAGTATTACCAAGTGACTTTGGTAGTTATTTTCAAAAGAGGGCTTTCTGGCTGCAGCTCCCTGTTTATTTTTTCTCCTATACCAGGAATACAGAGTATTCATTATTGTTACACATTCAGATTATCTTTTTTAAAGTTCTTAACTAACCAAAAGTCTTTAAAAAGAACTTTAATGCAGTTCTTGTTCCTTAAAATAAAAATATATCAAGTTGTTAAATAAAATTTACTATAGATTCACCTTGGGGGGGAAAAAAACCTTCCCAAAACCAATTTCCAATCAATTGTGTGTTATGTTATGCATCCAATGTAATAAAACAGCAAAAAGATATCATGGTTAAATAAAGTTGTCAATATAATTGTCATTTTATAGAAAAGCAGAAAGTTCTGAGAACTTCAGACATCTGCTTTACTTCCCACACCTAGTTATTTCTGGTAAGAACACAGAGAAAAGCACCTTCTTGTTTACATTTATTTACTCTCTACTTCATCATTAATCCTGTCTTTACTCCCAGTTTGTTAAACACAGACAATATACACAAACCTTGAATTAGAACATCCAAATATGCCAGTGTGGCTAGAAATTTGCAGAACAAATTCCATTTAGGTTTCTCAAAAAAATAGAGTAAACATTGGTCTCATATCTCTGCATTATGGTAGTTACCATACATTTTTCTAATATAACACTTTTTCCTCATCAACCTCAACTAATATATTTTGGGTTCCTCTGTAGAAAAGGCAATGGTGACTATCACAACCATAGTTTATAAAGCAAAAATGTTCACTAACAATCAACTTAGATGTCAAACAGAGAAACTGGATTTCCACTTATTGTAAAGTCCTACTTTGAATACGGTTGTTATTTTCCTTTAGAGCTTTTTCTTCCTTCATTAGTGCTTTTCCTGGCATCTCAGCTAGGGAATATTGGCAGGGGGGCAGGCAGAGGTATGTTTTGTTTTGGGTTGGTTTTTCTTCTTTTCAAAAAAAATCATAATGCATTCAATCATCAAATTTTTTTTAAATCATACTTCTTCAATCATCAAAATAACAAATATCCGAATGACAAAGACTGTGTTCCAGAGTTCTCATTAGAGAGAATCTCTCTGCCTGCTGTCATGAAGTTGCTTTGATTTTGACCAGGCATTCAGCAGCAGTATTCCTTTCAGAGGAAGGTAACTACCAGCACCAAAACTTGCCACCTTAGCACTTGCCATCAGAAACATTGCTGGCTATGCTGGAAAACCTGTACTGCTGATCTGAAATTATCTTTTAAGAATTCTCTTCAGTATAAAAACATTCCCATTTAATTATTCTATAGTTCAATGAATAAAGCAGTTGTAAGAGTACCAAATTTATTGTCACTGAAAACCAAGCCTTTTGCATAACCACAAAAAATACAGTTTGGGGGCAAATACAGTACAGGCAGCTACCCAGTCCCTACTAGAGAGTCTGATGTCCACTGTGGAAGAAATTCTGGCTGTAGTTTCATAACATGGCAATTGCAGTCTTAGTGCATCTCAGTGCTAGATGAAAAAGAATGAAGTCACATAATGTAAATCCTTTAATAGAAAATAAAATAAAATAAATTAAATCTGTCAATACAAGTGCATTTACAAGTTTTGAAAGGGCAAGTTTTAACAGCAGATTCTATGCTGGACATTGTAACATCTCTCTTCCTCCAGTTAACTCGGCATTTCATCATGGGCCCTGGCTAACTCAACATAAATGCTTTCGTGTTCTCCTTCTCCATCCACATCACAGAGTGACAGGTAATTGAGCACTGCATAAAACCAATTCTACCGTATACACAACCACAGCCTCAGGCTCCACAGAGCATTAAGCATCTGTCTTCCCAAATGAAAGGTTCAGGACCTAACTATGTGGGTATTGGTATAATAAAAAAATATTAAAAAAACCAGAGAAACAAGCAGACAAACAATCATCATTTTTTATTACTTGCTGGCCTTGATAAATGGCCTCGAGTTAAAAGTTATTTAGCATGTATTCAACCAGAATATTATACTAATACTGCATATTTAACTGCATACAGGTGATCAATCTCCAAAATAGAAAAGTTTTTAGTTTCAAGAAAAATAATGGAATAAAAAAGAATAATGACAAAATCATTGAGGTTTACAGGTAGAACTACTAAATTTATAAAAATGATGATAGATAGCCTGACATCAGACTTAACGGCATGTCTAGGGTCACTATATTCCTACAAGCACGTTCAGCAAACATACATGTGTAATACAGTTATCAAAAGCAAAGCATTTTATTAATTATAATTAGTTAGCTCTAAAAAAAAAAAAAAAATTAAAACAGCCCAAAAAGCTTTAGTAAAAAAATATCTAGGTACAGTGTTCCTAAGCTTCAATCATCAGCTAGAGCAAACAGCTTATTTCTGTAAAAGATTAATAAAACACACATAGTCATAACTAAATCTGACGTCAAATCCAGTCACTTAAGTAAACTGAAATACAAAAGACTAATCCGAACCCAATGGCTAAACTGACCTACTCACAAAATCTTCACCAGCTTGTACTCTCCACCAGCAAATAACGAAGTCCCACTAAGAACCAGGACATTCTTCCTACCAGCCCAAAGGTGCTGGATATGGTTGGCACTGTCTTCCTGAATGCAAGCTACTAAAGAAAAAAAAAAAGTAGCTTTGGACAGAAATTAAACAGCATGAAGCCTTAAAACTCCCTAACGGTGCTAATGGTTCTAGTCCAATAACAGCAGAGATAACTGGAGGATACAGTAGTGTATTCCACATCTCCTCTATGTCAGGCCAAGCCAGAAGGAAAAATTGAAAAAAAGAAAAACACAGCTTCACTGGTTTGGCTTCTCACTAAATACCTTCATTGCTACTATTTTTCAAAAGAGAGTTACAGTTCTTCTATACTCTAGTTTAAACTGCAAAGCTGATTCTAGGCCCACAAATATCCTACATTCTCAGTGATATTGCATTTTACATTTCTATCTAGATAAAATGAATATCCAGTGTATTCAGAGTCCAACCTCTATGTATGGGGGCGAGGGGGGGAGAAGGGGGCAAGGAATCAGAAGTGTGAACTACTTTCCTAACCCTAGTGAAATACAAACCAGAATCATAAGGAGTATAAAAGTCTACAGCTGTATATGTTGTTGGTAACATAATACCATTTTTTCACACATATCTATATAAAAATAGATACCACATCCTATTTATCCTCTGTAAAGCACAATAAATACCACTGTCAGAAAGAATAACAATTCCAGTCTAAACAAATTTCTAAGTTCTTCTGTCTTAAAAGATTTCCTAGACTAAAAAAAAAACTCAATAAGTATTTACAAAGAAGATGTAACAAGGCAGCTCCAGGAATTGGTGCTCTTTAGAATCTGCTGTGCTGTCATTCCAAGTAAAAACTCACAGTTCTCTTCTACACTGGCTTCTTTGTTGAAATACAGGAGAAATAAAAACATATTATAGTGGTATTATACTTCAGGGTTTTCATGCAACTTTATTATTTCTACTAAACAGTATAACTTCTTCCCCAAAGTAACATTATTCTTCATGAGTATATTTAGGAACCCGCAATGACTGCTTCCTTGCTATGATTTCCAGCAAGGCAAATGTGGCTTCTAAAAGCCACCCATCCTAACGCCGGGCACTCCCTGCTCAGCACCCACCACTTTTCTCTCGCAGGTGTTATTATCTCACACCCGCAACAGAAAGCGGCACCGTGCCAGGACAGTTAAAGCAACACCACCATAATTTATGAAACAGAACACCTTGCATCAGCCAGAGGCAGAGGCAGATGATGAAAGAAAAGGAACTTGGCAAACGCCAGCGCCCAGGGCCAGGG